TAATGTAAGTTTAGAGATTTATATTCGGTTTTTCTTGAAAGAGCCATGATTGTTGTATTATCATTTGGGTTAGAAATTTGGGGCGTTACAATGAACACCCATGCTCACCCGATCAAAGATCGGCCTCTACTAAACCATGATATGAATTTTATTTACTTTATATGTTCATATTTTGATTATTTAATAAATTCTAAAAATTACTATGTGAAGCATACAAGTATAGACTAGTTTACTCAAATTGGAATAGTTTAATTTCATGTTTGTTTGTCTGTCGAAAAGAGTTTGAATTTGTCACTTGACAAAGTGGGCTTAAAACGTACATTCGTTAAATCATTCCAATTCAAGCAACAAGCCTTCATCCACAAGTATTCAAACAGTTTATTATTTAAGCAATTAGCCTCATGGTAGGATGCTAAACATAATAAGAAAATTATGTACAAGCGGGATGCTAAAATATAAAAACTCACATATATACCGACGTCTCATGAACAGCTACAAAACAAAGTTAGTAAAATATGCATGATCCTATATACAAAATCCTACTGCAATTCACTCATGAAATGCAACTAAAGATTCGACTTCTAAGATATGACATGTGAATTATCTCAAGAACATGAGGTAGCACATAGAATCACATAAGAATTGATTAAATCCATAAAATGTAAACTTAGTCGAATCTTAATGCATGAAACATGGATGGGAAGCATAGATATGCATGGCATGTCAAACATATACATATGTACAGTTAGGGAAAACGATTAAAGAATGGGATAGAAAGAAGCAGGATGAGGAATTATTACAACACTTTAAATATTACAAATCCAAATGAGAGAGAGAGGAGAGAATAATAAAATAAAATAAAATAAAATCTCACAAAACACTCAAAATAAAAAATAAATACCCACAATTAATAACTCAACTCAGTAGCCCATTGACGCATTCCACACCTTTTTTCCAATGAAAATTGAGCCCAATGAAAAAAACTTTTAACATAAGCCCACGACAGCCTACCAAACTAGTGGGGCCACCTTGTGAGAACCATAACAAAATTTGAATACCATGGATGGAAAAAAAAAACCATTGGGAATAAAACCCATGGATTAAGCCCAAAACCCACATTGAACCAGCAAATGGAGCCTTCTGAAAAGGCCCAGATCCATTACAATTCACATGGACCAAACTGTAATCCACAGCACACTTATCAGCTCCAAACCTGAATAACCACAGTCGAAGATAACCCACCAGTGACGAGAACAATACGGCTATGTACTCACCGCCGGTGAAGCTTATGGACTCAACCACTCCCATGAATGATGAGAACACCTTCATAGAGCACGAAAACAGAGGACCGCGGGGGAAGAACCCACAGCCATGAACAGCAATACCATCTCCACTTACTCAACGAAAAATGGTGTACAACAACATTTTTTTTGTGGCGTTTAGGGAAACACCACTATAAATTAACGAAACACAACGTTTTCGAAAAATGTTGTGTCTGATCTCAGTGAAATGGCGCCGTATTGGGTCAATGTATTGACCGTCAAAACCTCCGTCTCTTTGAACTCAGTCTCTCTTTCTCAGTCTCTACCACAACTCAGTTTCCCTCTCTTCCAAAACCCTCGATTTGAAGCTCTCACTCTCTCTCGCTTAGTTTCAAACACACACTCTCTTGCTCACTCGCTCAATTTCTCATTCTTAACCCTCGATTTGCTCGATTGCAGATCTAAAACCCTTTATGGTTTGCGCTTCATCGATCTCTGTTACTCGCAATCGAACTCTCTAGCTATTCTTCATCGATCTCTGTCGCTCGAGGGCTTCGCTCTAGCTGTTCTTCATCGAACTCGAACTCGATCTATTCTTCATCAAATCGATATGTTCTGTTCTTCATCAAATCGATTTGTTCTTCATCAAATCGCAGATCCAAAATCCAAAATCGATCTGTTCTAGCTGATCTCTCTTGCTCTTATATCAGGTACATTTTTCATTCTCTACTTTTTCATTGTCAAATCTGCTGATCTGTTATTCTTTCTCTGTAATTTTTTCGTTCTTTAGTTTAAAAAATTTGGATTCTATTTACTTAAAATGTTTGTAATTGCAGAAGTCTTAGTGGATTCTATTTACTTAAAATGTTTGTTTGTTTGTAATTTTAATTTGGATGTAGGAGACAATAGGTCACTTGATCAAATTTCTATTGCTTGCAAAGATGCAGTAACAATTTTGTTTATGTTTGATCTTACTAGCCGGTGTACTCTAAATAGGTATGTTAATTATTTCATAATTAAATCACTACTCCTTTTAATAGTGATACATACATAGTTTTAAGTTTAAAGAACCACTAATTTGATATAATTTATAATATCAAATAGGGTGACATAACAGTAGTCAACATTATTGATTGATGCCAAGCATGTGTAACATTATGATTTTGAATTTCTAATGTTTATCACAATTTTACTATGAAAGTTAATAAAACCCATTGAACTATGTATAAATTTTATCAAGCTACTCAGGATTGAATTTGGAACTCAGAATTTAGACTGGACAAGGTGTGTGAAGGTCAGCCAGCACGTATGTTCTACATTGAAATTCAGAAGTTTAAGCTCTACCGAATGAAAGAAGAAATATTGCCCTTAATCATCTAAGTCTCTCTCCCTCTCTCTCCCCACCACGGAGAGCACAATTTTCTACATTTGTTGAAGATTTTATTGTAGGGGGAATCCATCAATGGAGCATGGCAATCAGTTGTATAAGCCAATTCCAACAATTTTGAATACAAGGTAGCTGCTATTTATAATGCAACGGCTAGATAAAGGGATTCTGGATGGGAAACTGCTCTTACAGTAACTTGTTAGTCTGCCAGTTGAATTGTTACCAATTCTGGACTCTTTTTCATGATTAAATTTAGTATTTTGGAATACTATGCTTGAGGTTCTAGCTGATGAACTGGTTCCATAATCTTAACTGCTGTGAAGAAGTAGGTGTTTAGAGCTGGTTTGTGTTAATGTCACTAGCAAAAGATATAACCATGAGTCCACAGACTAGAAAGATTCATCAAGATATAACCATGAGTCCTCAGACTAGGAAGATTCATCAAGACTATGGCCACCTTAAATGGCAGCAGAAGGCATGGTTTATGGCTTAGGAAATTTTTTAAGGCCCTATTTGGACCTCAAATTTTGAATTTGTGAAAAAAAAAACTTGTACTTCATTTTTCTTTATTTTATTTTATAAACCCAAAGTTCAAACGCAACTGAAATATGAAATTGTAAACAGGGGTTTAAAGCAGATGAAGGTACAAGTTTATAACTAAATTTAGTTTGAGTTAGAGCTCAAGGTATGAGTTTGCGACTTAGTATGAAATTGTAACCAGGGGTTTAAAAATTTATTTTAAAACTCATACTAAATTTCTTATTAGTAGACATAAAGGTTTGAGTTTCACGTGTATTCATTAATGTGAATCTTATTATCTTTGTGTAGTGGTAAAAATTAATAACTAAATAAAATGTAGCGAGAAACTCATTTACTATAGCATCATTCATTTTATATTTCCCAAAATATTGGCTCAATCGAATATCAAGCTACTCAGGATTGAATACCCTGAGTCCTAATTTTGGCTTATTTATTTATTATTTTTTATATTTCAAAAATAAGCTTGTCATTTTGGTGCTAGAAATTGTATTTGGCAGACTACGAGTACTTTCCTTAAATATGTATCTGAAACCCAGACAGTAATATAAACATTTTACAAGAAATTACCACTGATTGTGTTACTTATCTTGTTAGTTTTTTTCCCCCTTCCTTCTATTTGTTCTCTCAAATAACTACTTTCCCTTTGGTTCTTTGCATTGTTTTTAAATGGTTTGCAGAAAGGTATTGATGAGAACTGGGCAGCTGCTCTTGAACACAATCCTGAAGCTTTTGCAAGGGTGGTATGTGTAATTGACTGCCACATGTAAAAACTGTACTTATTATTTCTTGGTAAATGAGTTTTAAATTATTTTTGAACTTTTCAGGTCATGTTATATGTTGACATGGAAGTCAATGGTGTCCCTTTGAAGGTAGTAACAAGGGAAATAGCATGGTTTGCTTCCATGCTTTTCTATATTTTTTATCGTTACACTTGTTTTTAATTCTACATGCAGTAACAGCCCTGTGTTTCTTGTATTGCCTGCTAAACATTTTTTTCCCCCTCTCTTGGAACATGCTTACTTGGTCTTTAATGCAGTTGTTAAGTACTGCGCTCTATGTTGTTTTTCTTGCACAATCCAATGATTAATTGTTGCAGATAGCTTACAGTTCAAGTTTAGAAGTTTGAGTCGGTGATGTTGAGTAGTGTAGCTTGTTACTTTGTATTTTAAAATCCTCTTCCCTGTTGCTTTGATTGATTGTAGACTTTTTGCTTCACTTCCTTTCAGCGTTCGTTGATAGTGGTGCTCAGTCAACAATCATATCTAAAAGCTGCGCTGAGCGCTGTGGGTAAGTTCTATGTATTGCACTTAGTTCTGAACAATTATACCTTGCTTCCTTAGAAATATTAGTAATGCAGATTAACATACAAAAACCTGCGCGTGCTTGAACTACCTGTAATCTTGCATTGTTGACACATAATAAAGCATGCATTAGAATTGAGGTCCTTTTGATTTTTACCAATTATCTCTTAAACTGATCCATAAATGTATAGAAGAGTTAATTTACATAAGAATTCTAAGAATGAGTGGACAAATCAGTTTTTAGATCAATGCATTGAGTAATGTTATTCTAATATTAATGGACGACAACAGAAAAAAGTAAGTGATGACCATTAGAATATGACATCCTGTCGTCCTCATCAGAATATTGCTTCTAGTTTCTTTCCTTGAAGAGCTTTGAGATGACACTTGTGCTGGAAAAAAGTAATTTAAAGTTTTCAAAATGTTAACTAGTTTAAAAGTATATGGAAGATATGTTGTGAAGTGTTGATGAGTACCTAGATGACTCAATTAGGTTTTTGACATTTACTATTAAGCGAGTCTAAAATAATCAGAGTGTACATACAATGACAAAATAACAGAGGGTTTCCCATGGTTGACATATGCCTCCTGAAAGTTAAATAGACACAACCCAAGGAAGGCAAAAATTAATACACTTTAATAGATCAACCATGAAAAACCCTCCGTTAGTCTTGATATCACTCAGGGTACATCAAATGACCAAAAGCTCCCCTACATTTTTTGAAATGCATGCGTAACCCAAAGAGGATTTAAGATTCATGTTCCCAAAAATTGAATTTAGATTTGCAGAAGCTTATTTTTGTTGAAAATACAAGTCTTAAGAACCTTCCTTTAAATACATAAAAAATCAATTCCCACCAAATATCAAAACAAGGCTTCTAGACACAGGCATAGGTTAGAGATGACATGCAAAATTCTTTGCAGAGCATGCCAAGCTGCGATATTAACAGTCTTCAAAACCAACACAATCATTTGTCAACATATGTTTTTTTGCAAGGAAATGAAATAAAGAAGGAAAAAACTGCACGAATACAAATCTTAAAAATTTACCTACATCATTGACAGTTGAAGAATCTCAATTTCACCTCATAAATTTGAAAAAATGAATCCTTTTCAAGCATATTTTAGACTAGCATCTCGTTATTATTGATTTTTCAGTGCTTGCATCCTTTTCCTTCAAAAGAAACTTCTGCCAAATATTCAAATACAAACTGTCGTAATTTGGTAGAGTCTAATAGGGGTTAGATTGTTTTACTTCCTAACCAAATCAAACATATAATATGGTGCTATAATCTTGTCCATATAAATGAAATAATACTTACTTCTGAGGCTTTCTATGTATTTTAGCAAACCATATCACAAATAATTTTCTTGGCTAAAATTTGATTTGATTTAAATTTAAATATATGTTGAAAAAACAATTTAATTCTATATTGCCAACAGTACACCTAAAACTAACTATTAAAGAAACATAGCTAACGTTTAGTGTCCATAACTTTATGAACTCCTGGCGCTGAACTTCAGGGTCTGAAATAGCAGCTAAGAAATCCATTTCATGGTGTGAAAAGTACCGCCTAGCAAAAGACAAGATATCATTCCTTATTGTCCGCTGCTTTTCTTCCACATCAATACCAATCTATGATAAGAAGGGTGAATCACATTCATTTAAAGTTACTTTAAACAACAGCAGTGGAGAAAAACAAGAAAGCAAAAAATTCAAGGAGAACCAAAGTAGACAAGAGGGAATCATAGTACTAACTTGAGAATCCATAGTAACCCCACAGGCTATCAAAGAAGAAGTATGGGAAAGGTTGAAATGCAATGGTGGTGAGTGCCAATCATCACTTTGTTGCCACTCTACCTATCAACATATTCTATAAGAAAACATATTTTCCTTTTTTATTTTTTTCCCCAATTTTTTTTTTTAATTTTTATTTTTTATAAGTGAGGCAAATTGTCAAAACATATAGATCATGTAGTCTAAATTATGGAGAATGATATCTTAAAAGAGTTTCATTTTTCATTTTTTTGGTGTTTTATTACATCTGATCCAGTAATATTCTGCTTTTTAGATCATAATTAATTTAATTTTTTGTATTACAAAATATTCTATTTGAGGTACGATAATTGATATACTGCTTTCACAGATAGTTGAACCAGATCGATCTCTCTTGCTCTTCATCTCAGGTACATTTTTCAAAGCAATTAATTCTTTGGTAGTTTTGTTTGTTTTTCATTACTTGTAAGTATTCATCTCTAAGAGCTGCTTCATTCTTGTCCTGAATCTGGTTTGCAAGTATTCATCTCTAAGAGCTGCTTCATTCTTGTCCTGAATCTTGCATTGTTGACACATAATAAAGCATGCATTAGAATTGAGGTCCTTTTGATTTTTACCAATTATCTCTTAAACTGATCCATAAATGTATAGAAGAGTTAATTTACATAAGAATTCTAAGAATGAGTGGACAAATCAGTTTTTAGATCAATGCATTGAGTAATGTTATTCTAATATTAATGGACGACAACAGAAAAAAGTAAGTGATGACCATTAGAATATGACATCCTGTCGTCCTCATCAGAATATTGCTTCTAGTTTCTTTCCTTGAAGAGCTTTGAGATGACACTTGTGCTGGAAAAAAGTAATTTAAAGTTTTCAAAATGTTAACTAGTTTAAAAGTATATGGAAGATATGTTGTGAAGTGTTGATGAGTACCTAGATGACTCAATTAGGTTTTTGACATTTACTATTAAGCGAGTCTAAAATAATCAGAGTGTACATACAATGACAAAATAACAGAGGGTTTCCCATGGTTGACATATGCCTCCTGAAAGTTAAATAGACACAACCCAAGGAAGGCAAAAATTAATACACTTTAATAGATCAACCATGAAAAACCCTCCGTTAGTCTTGATATCACTCAGGGTACATCAAATGACCAAAAGCTCCCCTACATTTTTTGAAATGCATGCGTAACCCAAAGAGGAGTTAAGATTCATGTTCCCAAAAATTGAATTTAGATTTGCAGAAGCTTATTTTTGTTGAAAATACAAGTCTTAAGAACCTTCCTTTAAATACATAAAAAATCAATTCCCACCAAATATCAAAACAAGGCTTCTAGACACAGGCATAGGTTAGAGATGACATGCAAAATTCTTTGCAGAGCATGCCAAGCTGCGATATTAACAGTCTTTAAAACCAACACAATCATTTGTCAACATATGTTTTTTTGCAAGGAAATGAAATAAAGAAGGAAAAAACTGCACGAATACAGATCTTAAAAATTTACCTGCATCATTGACAGTTGAAGCATCTCAATTTCACCTCATAAATTTTAAAAAATGAATCCTTTTCAAGCATATTTTAGACTAGCATCTCGTTATTATTGATTTTTCAGTGCTTGCATCCTTTTCCTTCAAAAGAAACTTCTGCTAAATATTCAAATACAAACTGTCGTAATTTGGTAGAGTCTAATAGGGGTTAGATTGTTTTACTTCCTAACCAAATCAAACATATAATATGGTGCTATAATCTTGTCCATATAAATGAAATAATACTTACTTCTGAGGCTTTCTATGTATTTTAGCAAACCATATCACAAATAATTTTCTTGGCTAAAATTTGATTTGATTTAAATTTAAATATATGTTGAAAAAACAATTTAATTCTATATTGCCAACAGTACACCTAAAACTAACTATTAAAGAAACATAGCTAACGTTTAGTGTCCATAACTTTATGAACTCCTGGCGCTGAACTTCAGGGTCTGAAATAGCAGCTA